CCCATTTTGGGGTTCCTGACCCCATTTTTGGGGTCTTTTGCCCCATTTTTGGGTTTTTTTGCCCCATTTTGGGTTTTTTTGCCCCATTTTGGGGGTTTTTGCCCCATTTCGGGGTTTTTCGCCCCATTTTGGGGTTCCTGACCCCATTTTTGGGGTCTTTTGCCCCATTTTTGGGTTTTTTTGCCCCATTTTGGGTTTTTTTGCCCCATTTTGGGGGTTTTTGCCCCATTTCGGGGTTTTTCGCCCCATTTTGGGGTTCCTGACCCCATTTTTGGGGTCTTTTGCCCCATTTTTGGGTTTTTTTGCCCCATTTTGGGTTTTTTTGCCCCATTTTGGGGGTTTTTGCCCCATTTCGGGGTTTTTCGCCCCATTTTGGGGTTCCTGACCCCATTTTTGGGGTCTTTTGCCCCATTTTTGGGGTTCTTTGCCCCATTTTGGGTTTTTTTGCCCCATTTCGGGGTTCCTGACCCCCGGCTCCCGCAGGACCCGGCCTGGGCCCCACGATCCAGCTGGGCGAGCAGACGCTGATCACGGTGGACGCCAAGGCGGCCGGCAAGGGCAAGGTGACGTGCTCGGTGTGCACGCCCGACGGCTCCGAGGTGGACGTGGACGTGGTGGAGAACCCCGACGGCACCTTCGACATCTTCTACACCGCGCCCCAGCCCGGCAAATACGTCATCTGCGTCAGGTTCGGGGGGGAGCACATCCCCAACAGCCCCTTCCAGGTCATGGTGAGTGAGAAACGGGGGGAAACGGGGGAAAAATGGGGGAAAATGGGAAAAAATGGGAAAAATGGGGAAAAATGGGAAAAAATGGGTAAAAACGGGGTAAAAATGGGGATTATAGAGGGAAATGTGGGATCTGTGTGAGGTTCAGGGGGGAGCACATCCCCAACAGCCCCTTCCAGGTCATGGTGAGTGAGAAACAGGGGGAAACGGGGGAAAAATGGGAAAAAACAGGGGAAAAATGGGGTAAAAATGGGGTAAAAATGGGGATTATAGAGGGAAATGTGGGATCTGTGTCAGGTTCGGGGGGGGCGCACATCCCCAACAGCCCCTTCCAGGTCATGGGGAGTGAGAAACGGGGAAAAACGGGAAAAAATGGGGGAAAAATGGGTAAAAACGGGGTAAAAATGGGAAAATACAGGGTAAAAATGGAGTAAAAATGGGGATTATAGAGGGAAATGTGGGATCTGTGTGAGGTTCAGGGGGGAGCACATCCCCAACAGCCCCTTCCAGGTCATGGTGAGTGAGAAACGGGGGGAAGCGGGGGAAAAATGGGGAAAAATGGGAAAAAATGGGTAAAAACGGGGTAAAAATGGGGATTATAGAGGGAAATGTGGGATCTGTGTGAGGTTCAGGGGGGAGCACATCCCCAACAGCCCCTTCCAGGTCATGGTGAGTGAGAAACAGGGGGAAACGGGGGAAAAATGGGAAAAAACAGGGGAAAAATGGGGTAAAATGGGGTAAAAATGGGAAAAAAACAGGGTAAAAATGGGGATTATAGAGGGAAATCTGAGGTTTGGGGGGGAGAACATCCCCAACAGCCCCTTCCAGGTCATGGGGAGTGAGAAACGGGGAAAAACGGGAAAAAATGGGGGAAAAATGGGTAAAAACGGGGTAAAAATGGGAAAATACAGGGTAAAAATGGAGTAAAAATGGGGATTATAGAGGGAAATGTGGGATCTGTGTGAGGTTCATGTGGAGCACATCCCAAACAGCCCCTTCCAGGTCATGGGGAGTGAGAAATGGGAAAAACAGGGGAAAAATGGGAAAACCAGGAAAAATGGGGGGAAACCACAGAAAAACGGGGAGAAGATGGGAAAAAGTGGGGAAAAATGGGCAAAAAACAGGGGGAAAAATGGGAAAAATGGGGGGAAAAGGGGAAAAAATGTGAATCTGGGGTGAAAGGTGGGTGCTGGGTGGTTTTGGGGTGCGCTGACCCTCGCTGCCCCCCAGGCCACGGACCGGCCGCTGCTGGGGGTCAACGGGCTGGACATGGCCGGGCTGCGGCCCTTCGACCTCGTCATCCCCTTCACCATCAAGAAGGGCGAGATCACGGGTGAGGGGACACCCCGGAGTCGGGGTGGGGGGCTCCCGGAACAGCCCCAAAACCGGCCCAAAATGCCTCAGTCAGCCCCAAAACCGGCCCAAAATACCTCAAAATCAGCCTAAAATGCCTCAGAGTCAGCCCCAAAACCGGCCCAAAAATGCCTCAGTCAGCCCCAAAACCGGCCCAAAATACCTCAAAATCAGCCCAAAAATACCTCAGAGTCAGCCCCAAAACTGGCCCAAAATGCCTGAAAAGCAGCCCAAAATGCCTCAGAGTCAACCCAAAAATCAGCCCAAAAATACCTCAGAGTCAGCCCCAAAACTGGCCCAAAATACCTCAAAACTGGCCCAAAATGCCTCAGAGTCAACCCAAAAATCAGCCCAAAAATACCTCAAAACCAGCCCAAAATGAGTGCAAACCAGTCCAAAAAATACCCCAAAAACCTCTGAGTGTTCCCAGGTGTCCCCAGCTGTCCCCAGGTGTCCCCAGTCCCTCCCAGGTGTCCCCATCTGACCCGGCTGTCCCCAGGTGACCCCAGGTGTCCCCAGGTGACCCAGGTGTCCCCAGGTGCCCCAGCCCAAAATGAGTGCAAACCAGTCCAAAAAATACCCCAAAAACCTCTGAGTGTTCCCAGGTGTCCCCAGCTGTCCCCAGGTGTCCCCAGTCCCTCCCAGGTGTCCCCATCTGACCCGGCTGTCCCCAGGTGACCCCAGGTGTCCCCAGGTGACCCAGGTGTCCCCAGGTGCCCCCAGTGTCCCCAGTGACCCCAGGTGACCCCAGGTGACCCCAGGTGACCCGTGTCCCCCCAGGTGAGGTGCGCATGCCCTCGGGCAAGGTGGCCACCCCGGACATCACGGACAACAAGGACGGCACGGTGACCGTGCGCTTCGCGCCCAGCGAGGCGGGGCTGCACGAGATGGACATCCGCTGTGACAGCATCCACATCCCAGGTTAGAGCGGGAATTTGGGGGGATTTATGGGAGGGACACCGGGGACACCAGGGACAGTGGGGACAGCGGGGACAGCTGGGGGTCAGGGGACACCGGGGACAGCTGGGACTCTGGGGACACCAGGGACAGCGGGGACGCCGGGGAGGGTGGGACACCGGGGACACCGGGGGTCAGGGGACACCAGGGTGTCAGGGGACAGCTGGGGACAGCAGGGACACCGGGAGCAGCAGGGACAGTGGGGACACCGGGGGGTCAGGGTACAGCTGGGGACACTGGGGACAGTGGGGACAGTGGGGACAGCGGGGGGTCAGGGGACAACAGGGACAGCCGCCCTGGGGACAAGGGACAATGACAGGATCAGGGGACAGCTGGCCCCATGTCCCTGGCCCTGGCTATGTCCCCAGGCTGTCCCTCACACAGTCCCTGTCCCCAGGGGGGCTGTCCCTGACTGTGTCATTGTCCCCGTGTCCCCAGGGGGGCTGTCGCTGTCCCCTGACTGTGTCACTGTCCCTGTCCCCAGGGGGCTGTCCCTGTCCCCTAACCGTGTCATTGTCCCCAGGGGGGCTGTCCCTGACCGTGTCCCCATGTCCCTGTCCCCAGGGGGGCTGTCCCTGACCGTGTCATTGTCCCCGTGTCCCCAGGGGGCTGTCCCTGACCGTGTCATTGTCATTGTCCCCAGGGGGGCTGTCGCTGGCCGTGGAGGGTCCCTCCAAGGCCGAGATCAGCTGCCAGTCTGTCCCCTGACCGTGTCCCCATGTCCCTGTCCCCAGGGGGGCTGTCGCTGGCCGTGGAGGGTCCCTCCAAGGCCGAGATCAGCTGCCAGGCTGTCCCTGACGGTGTCCCCATGTCCCTGTCCCCAGGGGGGCTGTCCCTGACCCTGTCCCTGTCCCCTGACCCTGTCATTGTCCCCGTGGCCGCTGGGGCTGGCCGTGGAGGGTCCCTCCTAGGCCGTCCCCAGGGGGGCTGTCCCTGACCCTGTCCCTGTCCCCTGACCCTGTCCCTGTCCCTGTCCCCAGGGGGGCTGTCCCTGACCGTGTCATTGTCCCCGTGTCCCCAGGGGGGCTGTCGCTGGCCGTGGAGGGTCCCTCCAAGGCCGAGATCAGCTGCCAGGACAACGGCGATGGCACCTGCTCCGTGTCCTACCTGCCCGTGCTGCCCGGCGACTACGGCATCGTGGTCAAGTACAACGACAAGCACATCGCAGGCAGCCCCTTCACCGCCCGCATCACGGGTGAGAAACCCAAAATTGGGGACAAAACAACCAAAAAATGAAAAAAACCCTGAAAAAATTAAAAATAAACTCTGAAAAAATGAGCAAAAACACACAGAAACCCCAAAAAACCCCTAAAAACCTGACCTGGGGTCACTGGCACATCGCGGGCAGCCCCTTCACCGCCCGCATCACGGGTGTGAAATGGCAAAATTGGGGAAAAAAATGAAAAACTGGGAAAAAAAAAACAAAAAAAAACTGAAAAAAAAACAAAAAAAAACCCGAAAAAATGAGAAAAATCCCAAAAAAAACCTGTGAGAAACACACCTGGGGCACATCGCGGGCAGCCCCTTCACCGCCTGCATCATGGGTAGAAAACCCAAAATTGGGGAAAAAATAACAAAAAAATTTAAAAAACTGAAAAAAAACAACAAAAAACTGAAAAAAAACCCTGTAAAAACCCCAAAAAATGAGAAAAATCCCAAAAAAAACCTGTGAGAAACACACCTGGGGCACATCGCGGGCAGCCCCTTCACCGCCTGCATCACGGGGAGAAAACCCAAAATTGGGGAAAAAACAACAAAAAAATGAAAAAAACCCTGAAAAAATGGGCAAAACCACACAGAAACCCCAAAAAACCCACTAAAAACCTGACCTGGGGTCACTGGCACATCGCGGGCAGCCCCTTCACCACCTGCATCACGGGTAAAAAACAGCAGAATTGGGGAAAAAATGGAAAAAACTGAGAAAAAAAAAAAAAAAAAAAAAGAAAAAAAAAAACCCCAAAAAATGAGAAAAATCCCAAAAAACCTGACCTGGGGTCACTGGCACATCGCGGGCAGCCCCTTCACCGCCCGCATCACGGGTAAAAATCCCAAAATTGGGGAAAAACCTGAAAAAAATATGAAAAAAACCTGAAAAAAACCTGAAAAAATGAGAAAAATCCACAAAAAAAACCCCAAAATGACCCTGCTGTCCCCTGTGTGACCCCTGACCCCCGTGTGACCCCTGTGTGACCCCTGACCCCTGTGTGACCCCGCAGGTGACGATTCCCTGCGCCAGTCCCACCTCAAGGTGGGCGCCTCGGCCGAGATCCCGCTGGACATGGGGGACATCGGGGACCTGAGCCAGCTGAGCGCCACCGTCACCGCGCCCTCGGGCCGCCGCGAGCCCTGCACCCTCAAACGGCTGAGAGACGGCCACCTCGGTATGGGGACATCACTGGGGACATCATTGGGGACATTGGGGACATGGCTGGGACATTGGGGACACTGGGGACAGGGACCTGAGCCAGCTGAGCGCCACCGTCACCGCGCCCTCGGGCCGCCGCGAGCCCTGCACCCTCAAACGGCTGAGAGACGGCCACCTGGGTATGGGGACATCATTGGGGACATCATTGGGGACATTGGGGACATCCCTGGGACACTGGGGACAGTGGGGACACTGGGGACAGGGACCTGAGCCAGCTGAGCGCCACCGTCACCGCGCCCTCGGGCCGCCGCGAGCCCTGCACCCTCAAACGGCTCCGCGACGGCCACCTGGGTATGGGGACACTGGGGACATCACTGGGGCACTGGGGACATTGCTGGGGACATTGAGGAGAGTGACCTGAGCCAGGTCCTGTGTCCCTGTGTGTGACATGTCCCTGTGTCCCTGTGTCCTTGTGTCCCTGTGTCTGTGTGTCCCTGTCCCTGTGTCCCCGTGTGACATGTCCCTGTCCCTGTGTGACATGTCCCTGTCCCCATGTGACATTTCCCTGTCCCCGCAGGTATTTCCTTTGTCCCCCAGGAGGTGGGGAGCACCTGGTGCATGTCACCCGCGGTGGCCAGCTGCTGTCCCTGTGTGACATGTCCCTGTGTCCCTGTGTCCCTGTGTGACATGTCCCTGTCCCTGTGTCCCCGTGTGACATTTCCCTGTCCCCGCAGGGATCTCGTTTGTCCCCCAGGAGGTGGGGGAGCACCTGGTGCATGTCACCCGGGGTGGCCAGCCTGTCCCTGTGTCCCTGTGTCCCTGTGTGACATGTCCCTGTGTCCCTGTCCCTATGTCCCTGTGTCCCTGTGTGTGACATTTCCCTGTCCCCGCAGGTATTTCCTTTGTCCCCCAGGAGGTGGGGGAGCACCTGGTGCATGTCACCCGGGGTGGCCAGCCTGTCCCTGTGTCCCTGTGTCCCTGTGTGACATGTCCCTGTCCCTGTGTCCCCGTGTGACATTTCCCTGTCCCCGCAGGGATCTCGTTTGTCCCCCAGGAGGTGGGGGAGCACCTGGTGCATGTCACCCGGGGTGGCCAGCCGCTGCCGCGCAGTCCCCTGGCTGTCACCATCAGCCAGGCCGAGCTCGGGGACGCGTCGCGGGTGCAGCTGCGCGGGCCCGGCCTCAGCGAGGGCACCACGTTCCAGCCCGCCCAGTTCACCATCGACACCCGCCAGGCCGGTGAGACTGGGACACTGGGAGGGACTGGGGACACGGGGAGGGACTGGGGACACTGGGGACACGGGGAGGGACTGGGACACGGGGAGGGACTGGGGACACGGGGAGGGACTGGGGACACGGGGACACTGGGGACACGGGGAGGGACTGGGACATTGGGGACATTGGGGACACTGGGGCATTGGGGACACGGGGAGGGACTGGGGACATTGGGGACATTGGGGACACTGGGACACTGGGGACACTGGGAGGGACTGGGGACATTGGGGACATGGGGACACTGGGGACATTGGGGACACTGGGACACTGGGGACATTGGGGACACGGGGAGGGACTGGGGACATTGGGGACATTGGGGACACTGGGACACTGGGGACATTGGGGACACGGGGAGGGACTGGGGACACAGGGACAGGGACACTGGGGACATTGGGACAATGGGGACACTGGGGACAGGGACACTGGGAGGGACTGGGAGGGACTGGGACACTGGGGACACTGGGACACTGGGACATTGGGGACACTGGGAGAGGATTTGGGGGCACTGGGAGGGACTGGGACACTGGGACACTGGGAGGGACTGGGAGGGGATTTGGGGACACTGGGAGGGACTGGGAGGGGATCTGGGGACACCGGGAGGGGATTTGGGGACACTGGGAGGGACTGGGACACTGGGAAGAACTGGGAAGGTATTTAGGGACACTGGGAGGGGATCTGGGGAGGGACTGGGACACTGAGGATATTGGGGATACTGGGACACTGGGGACACTGAGACACTGGGAGGGACTGGGAGGGGATTTGGGGACACTGGGAGGGACTGGGAAGGGATTTGGGGACACTGGCAGGGACTGGGAAGGTATTTAGGGACACTGGGAGGGGATCTGGGGACACTGGGAGGGACTGGGAGGGACTGGGACACTGAGGACATTGGGGACACTGGGACACTGGGGACACTGAGACACTGGGAGGGACTGGGAGGGGATTTGGGGACACTGGGAGGGACTGGGAAGGGATTTGGGGACACTGGCAGGGACTGGGGAGGGGTT